GTGTGTGCGCGCGCGCGCGCGCGCACGTGTGTGTACGTACATCTCCCGTCATCCTGTTGAGTCATAGGTCAGTTTGTGGATCCACCAGGCCACATTTCCCTCCTCCTGCAGGCTACTCCTTCACCTGTGACATTTGTGTCCGTACCTCTGACTGCATAGGAATAGGATGTTTTGCAGAAAAACAAAATCTCATAGTCATTGCGCCCCCCCCCCCCTTTTTTTTTCTCCTGACCCCTTCCCACTAGCGTTTCCTAGATGTATACCCATTACCAGCTATCCTTCTCCCTTTCCCCTACCCCCGAGAACAATGAACAGAGCATAATATTAATAATATGCTTACTCTAATATTATGTTACATACTGTCTTACGGTGGGTCAATTCCATTCAGGGTGAGGGTAAATAACCCCTGGTTATGTCTGTTCTCTAAGACTGCATTGATTACTTCCCCTTAAAAAGTAGCACAACGACAATCGCTGGAGAAGCTTCTTTAGTTTTAGTTTTAGTAAGAGTTTTACGGCACTTGCAACACAATAAGGTCATAAAAAAATAAGAGCCGAAGATTAATTTAAAGTTGTTACAAGAGAGTAACAAACATAAAAAGAAGGAGGAGATATATAAACAATAGATGTTTGATAGGAAAGAAGAAGCAAACCACATCAGACCACCCGTCAACCACCCACGGAGAAGCTTCGTAATCATTGCAACAGAAAGAGGGTAAGGTACATGCAACAGCAAATAGGAAGGGAGCCAGACAGTGGGATAACAGGAAGATATGAAATGCTGATTATATAACACCTTTGAGATTTTGACTTTGAGTAAAGAGAAGCACAGCGACGCAATAATGGTCACTTTGTGATGGGGAAAAGTGAGACAGAGTGGCAGAAACAACAGAGAGAAAGTATAAAAATACATTGTACGACTATTTAGTTTTAGTAGAGGTTTTACGGCGCTCGCAGCTGCATACGGTCATATGAGCGCCAGAAGATTAGAGGTGTTACAGGAGAGTAACAAACACAAAAAAGAAGAAGGTGGGATAAGGACGATAGATGTTTGATAGGAAAGAAGAAGCAAACCACACCAGAGCACCCGCCAACCACCCACATTGTAGGACTATGACCTACCACTGGCACCCTCCAGCCGCCTGAAAATGATGCATGTAACAGGTTTTACGATCTGCTTTTAGTTTTAATTTTAGTAAGAGATTTACGGCACTTGCAACTCAATAAGGTCATATAAGTTTCAGGTTCTGCATGACTTCAATCTATTATGTACTACTATGCTGAACACAAGTTGCTATTCAGGCAGAACCATACTGATGAAAATACCAGCTGGGATCACCCTTCAACTACCCATTGCACTTACGTTTTGTGAAATGACCCATCCAGCACACAAACACAACAAGGTCTTGTACAGTGAAGTGAACAGCTGGCCCCACCCGTCAACTACCCAGGACCCAGTTTTAAAAAGTGGTGTTTTTAGTTTTAGTAGAGGTTTTACGGCGCTCGCATCTGCATAAGGTCATATGAGTGCCGAAGATTAGAGGTGTTACAAGAGAGTAACAAACACAAACACAAAAAGGAGGGGAGATAAAGACGATAGACGTTTGTTAGGAAAGAAGAAGCAAACCACACCAGAGCACCCGCTAACCACCCACGAAACGACCAGCTCGTCAACCTCCCAACCATGCATGATCCAGTAGTACAGTGTAGTACACAGTGGTGGTAGCAGTAGCAGTACAATGTTTTTCCATGTGGCCATCCAGTATCCATAATCCAGTCACACCCTACAAAAAATTTCCCAAGCATTCGGAAAAGTGACAAATATGTCAGTGATGCCCAACCCACAAACAACAAAACTCAGTCTGTGATATATCTTCGTTAATTTTATTGAGCACCAAAGTATAACAACAGTCGTCCGTTGTCCTTTCTTCCTCTTCCGATTCTTTTGCCTATAGTCCTAGTTAACACGTTATGTACATGGTGAAAGGCTCTGCTGTGGATTTGAAAACATGCAGGACAGGCCTATCTGTCCCCTTCGTTTTATACAAGAAAAATTCCGAAATTATGCAAACTGAGCAAAAAAAATGTGAAATTATGCGATTCTGTTAATTTTAAAAAGAATGACAAAGGAAAATAATCAGATATAAGCAAAAAATGATCAAGTTCTGCTAAATTATGCGGAGTGCATAAAACCACGGGGACAGGCCTATATCACGTCACAGGGTATGAAATGAAATACACAGCGGAATCCATTTAAACCGAAATCGGCGGGATCACTGGATTTTCTTCAGTTTAGCCGGGTTTTTGGTATTGAGAGGGGTTTCCCACACAGCATAGGGTTGGGAATGACATGCTTGCAGCAAAAATTTCACTTTTTGAATTGAAAGTTTTTAGCAACTACCTCGTTTACTTTTAGTTAGGTTTTTATGGCGCTCACAACTGCATATAAGGTCAAATGAGCGCCAAGGGGTGGATGTCAACAGAGAAGTCCGAACGGGGACTTACTCTGCTCACCTCTCTAGCCTCAACAGCACAAGGTCTGCTTCGACTACCAAGGCACCCCGGAAATAGCAGTTCACAAGAGAATGACAAACATACAAAAGAGGTAGAGGAAACAATGACAGTAGTTAGGAAGAGGAAAGATAAAGCAGCAGTTCCCCTCCGGCACGGTAGGAGCATGACATTGATAAATCAGCCCATTTACAATTCTACTGTGCACAAGATCATATTAATATCCCCCCTTTGGGAATGGCCGAAAAACACTTTAGTCAGACCTCTTTCAGCAACAGCAATCTGAATTAGACTAATTTAGAGGCTGTACGTATCCTGCTTTCTCTTCACCACTGTCAGATTGAGACACAGAATAGACGAACAAGTAGATAGAAATGAGAAAGAAAGCCAAATGCCAATGCCAGCGACGTCTTGAAACACAGAAGCTGCCACATGCTCACGTCAGTTTTAGTAACAGTTTTACGGCACTTGCAGCACAATAAGTATAAGTTGGATAAGGTCATATATATATAAGTGCTGAAGATTAGAGGTGTTACAAGATAGTAACCAAACATAAAAAAAGAAGGAGGCGAGATAAAGAAGAAGCAAACCACACCAGAGCACCCGCCAATCACCCACTTGCTCATGTCAATGTGTGCGGCCAGTGTGAACTAGCTTTGCAGAGACAATAGACCATGATCGACCAAAGGTCAGGCGACAGACATACCGTACATTCGTTCTCCTGGCATCGCAAGGCCTATAGGAAGTGAGTAGGCTTATGGCTGTCCCCGTGGTTTTATGCACCCCACATAATTTAGCAAAATTTGATCATTTTTTGCATAATTTCTTATTATCTTCCTTTATCATTCTTTGTTAAAATTAACAGAATCGCATAATTTCACATTTTTGGGCTCTGTTTGCATAATTTCAGAATGTTTCTAGCATAAAACGACGGGGACGGGGACAGCTATATATGGATGTGTCTGATAATAGAGGCAAACAAAACAATGGCGATGTCTCTTTTTAATCGACACACATGTGTTCTTGTGTCTCTTTCGTCTGTTTGGCATCTGGAAACCAGCAAGACTTGATGATTTGTGTTACTTGAGGGTTGCTAGTGAAGATTTAGCCGACATAATCATCGGAATTCATTTTGATTTAGAAATGTGAGCATTGCAGCTCATCCATAATTTTCTAACAAAGACGAAGGAAAATAATGAGATATTTTGTATTCTTTAGTGTACTATTGTCTTCCGACTAACTAACAGTGTTCTGTTTAAGCAAACTCCACAGTTTATATATATATATATATATATATATATATATATATATATATATAAATAAAAGAACAAAACCAAACACACAGCACAGACAGGACATGCAGAAGTCATTGCACACAGAACAGACAACACACATTATGACAGTAAGAGATCAACACACACAACACAGATAGGTAACACATGACAAATTACAAGCAACAGTCACCATACAAAACAATTTTATTATTCAGAATAAAGTCATCATTGTTGTTGCATTTTCTTTCCAGGGAGACTAAATATAATGACTGAATGTTTTTTTTTTAGTTTTAGTAAGAGTTTTACTGCACTTGCAACACAATAAGGTCCTATAAGTGCCGAAGATTAGAGGTGTTACAAGAAAGTAACAAATACCAAAAAGAAGGAGGAGAGATAAGGACGATAGACCATTGATAGGAAAGAAGAAGCAGAATGGCTTGAAAACACTTTCAATAAACATAGCTGCCACTCAGGAATTACAAAAAAGGAGGAAATTCACGCGAAAGCGTACGTGCGCCCTCCGAAAGCCGGAGCAAAACCAGTGAAATCCAGATCCAATATGTTGGAACATCTATGTTTTTGGTAGGGAAAACTGTCATATTTGTTAACTACAGGCAACTGAATTAAAATGCATTTGCAAAAAAAAAACCAAAAAACAATCAAAGACACTAAGTTGACTAACAAGCATTTGACCCAGTTTGGAGACTAAAAAGTGTTTGCAATCTAGTGTTTCATAAAAAGATTTCTTCCACTTTAGACTTGAGCAAAAATGTTGAGCAGTATTGGATTAAGGAGGCAACACCTTTGCCGCTGTAGTAGTAGTACAAAATTGTCTTTCTTGTTAATTGTTTACTTTCTCGTGTTTAATTCCGGGGGAGGACTTCGTAGCGAGCAACCACTCTGAACTCTATGAATGTTTTACTCAATGGCCATCAAAATCAGCACGGAAGGCCGAAAGCCAGTGTATGTTACTAGATCTAGATATATCTACCTACAAATGATGAAATAGCCGTGGTTTACGTATTCTTAACTCTAGCGCAAAGAGTTGAATATCCAGTCGGGGATGCATAGAGTTTCGTCTAGATTCTAGATCTAGATAATTTAGGATTTTAGGCGCGGCTGGAATTAAAAGCGAGAAAGTAAACAATTGCCTTCTTACTTATCGCTCCAAACGCAAAGTGCAGCACTCGGCTTGTTCAATTCTCAAATGAAATTTGAAAGCACATTGTCTGCCTCTTTCTCAATCCAGCTCCATTTATTTTTGCATTCTGCATCAATTTCTCTTGAATCTCTGCCGTTTTTAATGATAACTCGGCACGCCATCGCCCCGATGCTCGATCGACAGTCCACAACAATAAACAATGTGAAACTAGGCACAGAACGGAAGTAGAAAGCTACAGGTGGACATGCGCACGCCGCTTTTTTGTCTCACTCCCGGTTCGGCGATTTCCGCGTGTAAAAAAAAAGTATCGCGATTTGCGGCCAAGAGCTGTCCAGCGGAGGAAGGAGGAAAGTAGCGGGAAAAGCTAGATGGAGCGGAGTTTCCGCTATTTAGCGGGAAAGTGGCAGCTATGAATAAAGCAACATAACAGCAGCGTTTTACACCATCAGACACTCTACAATATCACCATGAAGAAAATGTTAATGATATTTCAAATGCCATCAGTGGGCAGAATGTTGCATAACAGAGACATTTCACAGTGTAACAAAATTAAGGAAAGTTGATGGGACATCTACCAATCTCATCCATCACACCGAGAAGGGTCACAATGTTATAAGCAGCAATGAAAGGAAGGAAACAGTTGACAATGTCCCACAGAACATTAAAACATAACAGTCGTTGGAGCAAACATAAAGAACCAGTAATGTGCGCGCTGGGCTAATGATTAAAAACTAGATCAATATACACATTATAAACAAAATTAATTTAGCACCAAAAGCTAAACAAAATGCTTGTACCATACCAATTATTTTGTGCATGTGTAAGTTAAAGTGCATTTGCACAAGTTTGTGTTATCTGATGGCATTGCTAGGCAACACAGCATCAGAGGTGGTGTAGTCGACGAGTTGACTAGAGCAGGCAATGAAGGCCTGTCCATCAGAGACAACCACTTGCCTCTCCACGAACGCCTCGGAGCTGACTGGGGGCTGGAAGAAGGAGAGAGACGAGTTCACTTCCAAGATGTCTGCTCCCTCTTCCTCTTCCCCACCCACACCCACCATCCCACTTCCATCACCCATGATCCCCCCATTGCCGATCACCATGACAACATCGTCTTTGCCCACCCTCTGCCCCCCAACCTGAGCATCACCAGCATGACCATGGACTTCCATGACGGACGGAGTCTGACCCCCAACAAGGACGTCAGTAGAAGCTGTGGGGGAGATACCCCCTACTGCACCCCTCGCTTTGTGTTCAGACAAGATCATCAGCCTGGTGTCCTCCATCTCCGTCTTGACATGCGACCCACTGTCTGCCAGCCTGCCCTGCGCCTCAGCATGGGAGACAAGCCCCTCCGCCGCCACTTCCCGCCCATCCTCCTTGTGCAGGTGCAGCTCCGCCTGTGGCCTCATCATGGCCCCCGCCACATCTGCTGTCAGGATCTGCGTCCCGGCAACCTCACTACCAGCACCCATATTGAGAGAGCTGGCCTCAATGATTGCGATGGGCTGGATGGCCATACCGCCTGGCCCACTGGCAAACATCTGGCCACCTGACACAGCCGGGATAAAAGCCGTCTGTATAGTGGGGGCGCTACCATCCACAGACTCGGTCAGGTGCACCACGTAGTGATCTACCAGCTCTCCTGCCGGCCCCAGGCTCACCCGCTGCAGTGAGGGGGACAAAACCTGTGAGCCTGTCAATGTCTCCTCTTCCCCTTTGTCGGGTGCAATCTCCTCAACCTCCATGTCCAGTCCCGGGGTCACCTCAACCTTCTCCGTGGGAGTAAGGACTGGCAGCGCCTTCACCACTTCCACAGACAGGGTGTTCTTGCTGCGACGCCGAGTGCTGCCGGGGGAAGCCTTCTTGCCTTTCAGCTTGTCCGGCTGCCTGTGTGGTTGCTGCAGCTGCTCTGACTCCTGAAGCTGCTGCTGTTGTTTTGCCGACAGATGCTGCGCCACCAGCTGTGCTGTGGTGGAAGAGAGTAGAGTGCCCTTGCCCCGCGTTCTAGATGGGTACTGCTTGCCCCTACTTTTGGCGATGGAATCCGGAGTGATGCTGATCATGCGTTTCCGCGGGCGCCCCAGCTTGCGTCGATTGCGTGGGCGGAAGTGCTGCTCCACACCAGCTCGTGACGGAAGACACTTGTGCTCATTGAAGAGCTTAGGACGGAAGAACCCTTTCCCGCATTTCTCACACTTAAAACGGAAGTCAGCGTTGTGGCCTCGCTCGTGTTCCACCATGTGGGGCCGGCGGGAGAAGCTCTTGCCGCAGATGCTGCACTTGTACGGCTTGATGCCACTGTGGGTGATGATGTGGGCCTTCAGCTTGTCCGGCCGGTTGAACTCTTTGGTGCAGCCTGCAACCACATCCATAACATAATGTCAGAGACAGATGACCGTGATAAGTACATTATGTCAGAAACAGGTGACAATGATGAGCCAATTAAGCCATTAACAGATGACAGTGGTGAGGACATACGGTCGCTTTTAAGGACAAGCGGGCTAACCCAGATTCGGAGGTTTCCAGAAATCTTGCCCTACACCAAAAGTGAGCATTGCCCTACCTGTAGGAGAAGTTTGGTTTCATTGGTGCGTATATTTGTTTGGTTATGGAGAAAACTCTCCTTGTCTTTTAAAGAAACTGAACAAGGGGGAAACACTTTACCTTCAATTTTATCAAAACAGCACTTTTCAGGATAGCCCCCTTGTGCTTAAAAGCAACCATATGTCAATAACAGAACAGGTGACAGGTATGAGGATGTTATATCAGTAACAGGTGACATTGATAATGACACGTCATTGACAGGTGGCAAGGATAGGGACATTACGTCAGAGACAAGTGACAATGATGTAAACCTTATGTCAAAGACAGGTGACAGGTAAAGAAGACAACATGTAAAGGACAGTTCATACTGCATCAGTGACAAGTGAAATTATGCCCATAATAACTGACAGCAATGGGGCCTTACGTCAGATAAGTCTGAATTATGTCATCTACAGCAGACATCATTTGACCGACAGCTAAGATAACGTTAGTGACAGAGGACACCTATGTCTACGATTGTTTTTAACTTTCACTTTTTTTTTTTCAGGAAGTGTTCAGAGATTTTCTTTTTGAAGCAGGACATCAGAAATTACAAGCCTTATCCCAGGTCCGAATTGAGTAAAGAGAAGCCTATTGATTCGATAAAGGTCATTTAGGGCAGGACAAAAGCAAGACAGACACAAACAATAAAGGGAAAAGAAAAGAAGTAATTCCAATTTCAGTCCATCGCAGTGAATTTGAGGAAGGGGACAGACAAAACACAAGATCGTGTATACCACAAACCATAAAGAGCTCTTCACCTGCAATGTTCCGGAAGGGACATCGGTATTTCTTGACAGCGTCGTGGATGGTCATGTGACGCTTCAGCTTGTCCTTACGGTTGAAGGCCGCCTGACATATATTACAAGCATAGGGAGTCTCACCCGTGTGGATGAGCACATGAGACTTCAGGTAGTGCTCAGTCTTGAAGCGCTTGTGGCAACGGCCACACTCAAACTGACCTGAAACATACACAAGAAGGGTAGCAAAAGTCAGAACCGATATTTAAAAATTCATATATATACACACACGTTTAAACTCTCATAAAAGTCAAACTAATGGAAACATACACACATGTTTAAACTCTCATAAAAGTCAAACTAATGGAAACATACACACATGTTTAAACTCTCATAAAAGTCAAACTAATGGAAACATACACACATGTTTAAACTCTCATAAAAGTCAAACTAATGGAAACATACACACATGTTTAAACTCTCATAAAAGTCAAACTAATATGAAACATACACACAAATGTAGAGTGTGTCAAACAACATACGTCAAACTGACCCGCAGGATACAAACTCTGTAGCACATCAATTTAGCAACTGCATTTTAGGGCTGGGCAAAAGTAAGATGGAAAGAAACAAGTAAGATGGAAAGAAACAAAGGGAAAGAAGTAGAATTAATAGCTCATCATCATCATCCTCCAGTGCCTAGCCGACTGGCATGGGCGATCATGGACCTCCACTTCACTCTGTCTTGCGTTGCAGCAATGGTGTCTGTTGTTCTTGCTGCTCCTAGCATTGTTGTCATCTTGTCCAGTATCTTTTCCCTCTATCTGCCTCTTCCTCTCTTTCCATCAAACTTACCTGTTGTTACAATATTCTCCAATTCCACACGACCTGTTATCTCTTCTTGTCCGAAATGGGAAACTGAAGTTGCTGGATTGTCACAAAGACAAGATGGAAGTGCAGCTATTTACTGAAAACCTTGTGGGCCTCAAATTACATTTACACCAGACCCTCAAGAAATAAATATAAAAACGGCAAACATTTCCCATGAATTCCGATCTACTGTGTAGTAATCCACCCTTGAAGTATCTTACCCTCAGAGCCATGGATGGGCAGATGTCGACGGAGAAATCTCTCACAAGTGAACTGTTTCTCGCAGTGTGGACATCGGTAGTCATGCGAGGTGGTGGACGTGTGATGCTCCAGAGCCTCAGGGGTCGTGTACTTGTTGCCACATTTTGTGCATTGGAAGTGCCTGGGTGGGGGTCACAAAAACTAACAGTCAGTACAACCACAGTGGTCTTCACAGCATGGCGAACAGAGTGGCCGATACAATCAACAGTCAGCCGAACAGTCGTTACAATAACCACCCTTGTCTCCTTAAATGCTACAGGAATAACCACTGTTGTAACCTTTAATGTTTTAACATAGTTACCATAAGTACTATTTGTCACGTTCAATTTTATTGCAATAACCACTATTGTCATAATTAATGTTATTATTGCGATAATCACTATTGTCACATTCAACGTTATTGCAATAAACATTACTGTAATATTTAATGTTATTGCGATAACCACTATTGTAACATTCAAAGTTATTGCGATATCCACAATTGTCCCATTTTATGTTACCTTATTTCAAAAACCACTACTGTAACGTTTAACATTACAACCATGATCACTATTGTGGGGCACTTATAGTTGAGAGAGTACAAACCCCTACCCACCCTCCCATGTATGTTATACCTGGGTCCCGACTTGACACTCTGGTTCATGTACACGTGAGTGTACTGGTGCACTCCCAGCTCACATAGAGACTTGAAGTACTTGTGGCACTGGTGACACCGGTAACTCATCTCGCTCTCGTGGGACTTGACATGGCTCAGAAAGTCGTCCAGGTCGCGATAAGACTGACCACAGTTCTTCATCACACACTTGTACACCTAGGCAAGCAGACAGTAACAACACATAGGTCATTCATGTGAACAGGTGCACTGACGCAGACAGAGGAGGGAAACAGACACAGACAGACAGACACAGCAAGAAAGGAGAGCAAGGGAGTAATAGTCTGGATGAGATACACTTAGAGAGAAACAGAGAAGAGAGAAAGATAGAGAGAGAAAGAAAGAGAAAAGAAGTGAGAAAAACAAAGATTAAGACGAACAGACAGCCTTTCCTAACCATAAACATGAGACCACCGAAATATCTACTATATTTTCAGATCACTCTCTCTTTCTCTCACTCCTTCTCCACACATAAGCCACCTTCACTCATGAAGCAAACACAAACAAAGCTAAACTGTACCAAGGACAGGTGCCTGTGTAAGCCATCCAATGGTCCCCCCCCCCCCAATCTCCAAAACCAACAAATCACCTCCCAAACAAAACAGATAGGGCATGAGCTAAACCACGAGCTGCCAGCCGTCATATGTAGTAACCTGTTCGCTCTTGTGCGTCACAAGGTGCGTCTTGAGCTGGTAGTAGGACTTGAACTTGGCTGGACAATACTGGCACACATAAGAGTTGTCCACGATCACCTTTACCCTCGGCCCGCTCTCCTCCGAACCTTCCTCGTCTTCTGGTTGTTGTAGTTGTTGTAGTTGTTGTTGTTGTTGTTGCTGTTGTTGTTGCTACAAAAAAACAAGAAAGAAATACAGTCAAACCTGCTCCAACAGCCACATGTCTAAGATAATCACAAGTACAAACGATTACCGCTCCCTCCCCCCTAAACAATGGTACGTATGTCCCAGGAGAAACCTGTCAGCACACAAGTCACTAAAGAACTGCAATTGTACGCATGCTCTCCAAAGGCCTGAGTAAAACCAGTGAGATCCGGAGGCAATATACTGGAACATCCATGTTTTTGGAAGGGAAAAGTGTCATATTTGTTAACCATACTGAATTAAAATGTATTTGAAAAAAGACAACAACTCACGAACATGCATTTGACCCAGATTGGTGACTAAAAATCCAGTGTTTGTTGCCAGCTTGTGCCTCATAAAAAGATCTATTTCACTTTCGACTTGTGCAACGATGTGGTAACTCCTTTGCCACTATACAAGATTTCTTTATCGCACCAAATGCAAAGTGCAACACCCAGCTTGTTCAATTTTCTAAAGAACTGTTGAAGTCGGAAACCGTCTGCTTCTTTCTCAATCTAGCTCCATTTATTTTAGCAGTCTACATCAATTTCTCTCAAATTTTCGTCATTTTCAATAACAACACGGCGCACCATTGTCACGATGCTCGATTGACAGTCGACACTGTCGCTCCACAAAAAAGTAACAATGTGAAACTTTAGCACTAGGCACAGAACGGAAGTAGGAAGCTACAAGCAGACATGCGCAAGCCGCGTTTTCGTCTCACTCCCGGTTCGGTGTTTGGTGTGTGTAAAAAAAGTATCGCAATTTGCGACAGAGAGTGGTCCAGCGGAAGAAGGAGGAAAGAGAAGGAAAAACTAGATGAAGAGGAGGTAGCGGAGTTTCCGCTATTTAGCGGAAAAGTGGGAGCTATGACTAGTCAGTCTGGAAGGGTTTTTTTTAATGTTTCTACCATGAGACTGCTGTATTTAAAGCGTTATTTATTTTATTCAACTTTCCGTGGTCATCAAGTCTGGGACACTCTGTGCAACATTTATAGACACAACTGCTTACCATTTGGTTCACAATGCTGGAGTCAAATGACCTGGGAACTCTTGCATCAAAAGTGTCGGAGGTTGGGGGCTCAGACAAATTGCCAGGTGCAGACCCTGGCCCTGTGGGAGCGCCATCCGTCACTGAGGGGGGCGTTGACGTCTGCCCAGCCTCTTCATTCTCCACCACCGGCTCAGGCTGTTTAGGGAGGGTGTTGGAGGTACCACATGGCCACACCTACCAGGAGAGATGTCTGCCAGTTAGTTTGTCTGTTTGTTCAACAGCTCAGAACATAACTGTCCCTCATACGGTAATTTTGTTGTCGCAATTGGAGTAACCAGATGCACACTGACACAATCATGATCATTAAGTGCAGCAAAAAGTAAGACAGATAGACAGAATCAACAGAAGGAAAGAAAAGTATGAACTGTCAGAGGCATCCTTCAACATCTGCACAGGTGAGAGACACACAGCAAGGCAACAAGTACACAAGACAGGAACACGGTCTCCTGTCAACACCCTCAAACCATCCATGGCGGAGAAGAGGATTAACTCTTTTTATCCGGGCTACGAGTATACTCGTAACGAGGACCAGTCCGGGCTACGAGTATTCTCGGAACAGCGATACGGTCACGCCAAATAAGCTAGTTCTGCTTGTAATTACCAAAATACGCAAATACGGCGATGCTAGCTCTGCCTGAATATTTTAATTTTCCAATGAATAGTGGTTTCTTTGTTTTTGATGGGTGTAGAAGCTTGAAAGATGTCTCGAAAACGCACTTTCACGACCGACGAAGTACTTTTTGAAGTGGCGATGGGTAGTGAGGGGGAATAATACTAATTTGATGAAAGTGACTCTGAAATAAGTGCTGTAAATTCCGTTGTGGAAGATAAGAAACAGGACATAGACTCACCTAATAGCGATTCAGATCATGGTGAAGGGGTCAGTACTGGAATTCGTGCTCAATGGGTAGGGCTAGATCTAGATCTATAAAATCCAATGGGACGTCGTGGGCGCGGCAATCAGGGTCAATTTCGAGGGTGGAATACACCTCAAAATCAACATTGTACTATTGGTGTATTTTCTAACAACATACATTTACAAAAACTACATTCAATTTCTAACATAACTGCCAAATTTCCTTAAAACCTTAGAGAAAATGTAAGAAATACAACACTTTGAACTATACGCACTGACTTCCGACGCATACGGCGCGGCGGCCCCAGGACTGGTACAGAGTCCATGGGGGTACGGCTAGGATAAAAAGAGTTAAAGAAGTTATTTAAGTTTTGGTAAGAGTTTTAAAGCACTTGCAACACAAATAGGTCATATAAGTGTGGAAGATATGGTGGTGTTACTACCAGAGAGTCAAGAGTAACATACAAAGAAAAGGAGAGGAGAGTTCAGGACATCAAAAAAGAGCAAATCACACCAGAGCACCTGCCAATCACGCACAATATTCAAGAAGTTAACAACAACAATAGGCAAATGCAAAATGCTCAAGCATATGACGCAAACAAACAAACAGGTCCAGTGGACTGATGTGTAAGTACACACAAGGGTAGCTCTTACTTCCACGACTATCTGGCCAAACACACCCACACACAGCTGCACACTTCTCATTCATAAGGACATAACACAGAATAACTCAGCCGGCTTGACTTTACCACTGACCCGACTTACATTTGAAAATTTTGCATCACTCATAAGTACAAATATTTCATCACTATTAACATCAATTTCTCTTCAAGGCCTCACATACTTTTGGTGATCATTTCCTTTCTTTCTTTCTCTTTGAGGCTGACTTATAGATTTTATTAAAAATATAACCACTTTTTTAAATTGCCAAGGGTGACAATATGTAATGAGAAGCTTTTATTATTGCGAGCATAAGACTTACTTTGTGTGTGGCCATGTGTTTCTTGACATTGGACTTCTGAGCAAAGGCGCGGCCACACACAATGCACTGAAACGGTTTCTCCCCTGTATGAGCACGGACATGTTGTTGAAGGTCAAAGTTCTTGGTGAATGTTTTGCTGCAGTACTCGCACTGTGGACATATACACATACATTTTAGTGGCTAATGGTGAATATTTTTCAGCAATTCCCACACTTAAGTACAATTAGAGTGTTATCAGAATAGAAAGTCTTGGAAAGAAACAGATCATACAACCGTGACCTACAACAAGAGAAAAAAAAAGCACTTGAAACCATCTAGTACAATCAATTTAGAGCATTTATCTGTATGCTAAACAAAATTTTTTTAAAAATATAAACATATATTTGTGTCATGACACTGTGAATTCAGGTGCTCATTTTTGGGCATGTAGAGTTAATTAGTATCATCTTAAAGATTATGCATTCAGCTTGCAATAGGCAACAAAAAACACCCACCAATCTTGAAAAAAAATCAAGATATTTGCGATTAAAGGAGGCGGGGGCTGCCTGGTGTCAGAGGTTATATTTGCGAGAAAATTACCGTCAAAGTTCAGTTACTTCCAAAGCATGAGTGTCCTTGGAAACCAGAAATTTGCATTTTTTAGCCTTCGATCAACATTTTTCAGTAAAATCCACACAAAAATGAGTTTTTGAATGGACATACAAGCTGTTAATCCAAAAACAGAAACTTTAAAAAAAATTGCTCTAGGCCAGAAAATTGTTGTTTTCTTTGATTTCATTATTTTGACAAGCACCTGATTTCACCATACTGCCTCACAACTTATTTTCACATAACAATTTCTTTCAATCTAGCTCTCTCTCTCAACACCCCTCGCCCCCTCAATAAAGAACACGAACAGCAACCAAGAAATACTGTCCTGTACCTTGGGTTTACCATCCCATGCCCTCCTACCGGCAAAAAGCTTGTACGCGAGGTGCGTCTCGCGGTAATTACCCTGTTCCCCATCGAATGAGTTTCGTTTCATTTAATGCTAGCTTTTGCTTGTATAGAAGAACTATTCACGAACCAAGTTTTTTAGTAATAATTAAGCCTCTATTTAGAAATTGGAGGCAAGCTTTTGCGGTTATAATGAGACATAGTATACCAGGTTCAGGTGACTAGAAAAAACTCAGGGTTTAAAGATTTAAGTATGAGCTCAGAGTCCCCATTCTGCAAAAACCATGAACAAACAGACCTGTAACTTGGGTTTACTGTTGGCCTCCTCCTCGGCGACAGCGGCATTCCCAGAGTTCCGAGCGGTTTTGCCCTTGCGTGTGCTCAGCAGACTGACACTGTTGTCTGCGTTCAAGACTGTGATGAAGTTGTTCTGGGCAGACTTGCGACCTGCAGATATGCATACAGCAACTTACTTACAACCAGAACACACACACATACACACACATACGCAGGTACACACATAACTACATGGTTACCAAATCTCCAGTCTTAAACAGGTTTTGAAAGTCTCAGAAAAGACCAGACACAACCATCCAGCCCCAAGCTGAAGAAAGTGACTTCAAATGGGATGTGCTTATGTTAGGACAAATCAGAATAGGGTCAAATATTCTACCCAACATTTAGAATAAAGCTCACAGTCAGTTCATGATCAAAGACCCTACAAGATGAGGGGGGGGGGGGGGGGGGGGGGGGGGAGAGACAGGGACAAACAAAGGAGAAGCTTTTCCTTGTGTTTTAATTCTACAACTGTACCAGCACAAGACTAAACGCACAAGCTGAATCCACAATCTGATAACAAAACACGCAAACTGTACTCACCAGCTTTGGTAGTAGTGGCTTTGAGAACCTGCGGTTGGACAGCGGCCGGAGCGGAAGGGGCCATGGCCAGGGAGATGGGAGGCTGGGGGGCTGGTGGAGGGGGTGGGGGCATGGCCTGGGCTAAGTGCTGCTGCTGTTGTTGAGTTTGCTGTATTTGCTGCTGCAACTGCTGTTGTTGAAGCTGTTGCTGCTGTTGTTGGATCTGCTGCTGCTGTTGTTGCAGTTGTTGTTGCTGCTGCTGCTGTTGTATATGCTGTTGCTGTTGCTGAACACCTTTGTCTGTGATGGTGGTCAGCGTGATCTGGGGGGCCTGCTGGACCAGGAGTTGACCAGTGGCCCCGGCAGCCGGCCCAAAGTTGTTGGCCGAACTGGTGAGGCTGCTGATGGGGCTGAAAATTGTCACGCCGTTGGAGTTGTTGGAGGCCTGACCCGCAATTGGGGCTGTAACCTGGAGGTTAGACACGCAGTTTGAGTGAAAAGAAACAAACACATCATCACAGTAATTTAACGTAGGAAAAAAGTCAGATAGATAGACAGACAGAAACATTAAAGGGAGAGAAAAGTACAAGGACCTGCCAGTGCCATACTCCAATCATATGCTGCAGACGTGTAAGTGGTCCTCCGAATAATTGCCTGAAAATCTGAAGAAGAGTAGCTGCGGCAAGCGGGCGCCACAGGCACAACCCTCATTCAACTTGGGGGGGTCTGGGGGCGTGCTCCCCTGGAAAAGTTTTTTAAATTAAGGTATCTAGACTGCTATATGGGGGCATTTTCAGCTTGGAAAAGTAAAATATCAGACCATAAAAAAGTCTATATATAGATGTATTCTACTGAAAACAGTAAATCAACTGGGCATCACTTTCACTTACTCAGATATTGAAACCCACGGGCATCAGGACAGTGCGACTTGGTGACAGGATTCTACAGACGGTTTATATAAAGTGTCTGGGGCTGGGGCTTATCAACACCTCTGATCATACCAGGCTGTACGATTTTCTGCATGTAACCTGAAAGAAAGTCTCTGTTGCTGTCTCTTTCTTCTAGCCACTTTAATTTATTTTTGACACTGGCCTCAATGCTACTCAGATCATCACGCTCAGAAACAATGAGCTCAGGCATCTTTTCAAGACAAAGTACCTAGCTATAGATCTATATTCGAGATCTACCTCCAAATCTGCACACTCATAAAGTCACCACACCAATCACAGTTACAAAGAAATACATGAATAGTTCTAATCAAAAAACTTTTCTGGTAGAAACAAAAGTCAAACTGTAAAACAGCACTTGTCAAAAAAGAAAACATTTTCCGGCAAAAAGAAAAGCTACACTTTGAAAGAGCACCCACAAGAATCGTAGCTTTTCCTTGCACAAAACAGCACACCAGGCCCACCGACACGATGACTGAGCTTCAAATAATGGCTCACTGGCGGATTAGATATCTCAAACCGATTGCCCAACTCGCAGGCTCGGCCTCGAAAACAAATGTGTTCGTTTTTTAGGCCGTGAGTCGGGCGATGGGTTTGTGCCAAAAAGGTCACTTTCCGCCCTCAATCTGGCTAGCTCCAACTATCAAACAGAACTGAACCGATTGTGCTCATGGGCACTGGAAATAATGTGTGTGCACACTTTTGTTTATTTCATGGAAATGCAAATGGCAGGGTGTCCAGCAATATTTCCTGAAAAAATTTACTACCTGGAAAAAAATTTACTACCCAGCAAATCAAGCCCCACACCAGCTCGAAAAAGGGAGTTAATTTGCGCCATCAATAACATATATATTTTTATTACATAACATATGGAACGAAAAGAACACACAACAAAGTCCAGTCGACAAAATGGAGGATAGACAGATGATCGCAAGCTTGCTTGCAGCTAGATTTAGTTTTAGTTAAGGTTTTAACGGCGCTCGCAACTGCATAGGTGATATGAGCGACAAGGGGTGGATGTCAACAGAGAAGTACAAGCTTCGACTATCAAGGCACCCCGGAAATAGAAGTTCACAAGTGTGACAAACATACAAAAGAAGTAGAGGAAAATGACGATAGTAAAGAAGAGGACAGAAAAGGCAGCAGTTTCCCCTACGCGGGTCCAGCACAGTATGAGCATGACATTGATAAATCAGCCCATTTACAATTCTACTGTGCATAAGAACATGTTAATATCCTCCCTTTGGGAATGGCCTAAAGACATTTCAGTCAGTAGCACTGCCCTGGTGGGGGGGGGGGGGAGATTTGTACCTAATGTGTACACACAGGGTGACTGCCAAACCGGCTTCTCCATTTTCCAGGGCCATGTTACACAACAACAACGCGCGCACACACACACACACCCACACTCACAAACACGTAATGACTCAAGTAAACATATTCAGTGTGAGAGGTGTAAGAACTGTGAGAGGGCAAGAGGCAGTGGCACTGAAAATCTGCCAGTCTTGAACAGAAAGCTACAATATTGTTCTAATTTACTATCACCCAACAAATGAAACGCGAACACTTTATTTCAATAACACGGCTTACAAGGTATGAAAGATCCCGATTCCACACAAGGCCTGCACCAACGCGCGCTTTGCAGAGGGCTCTAAATCTAATCAAAATTCAGAAATTTGCATACAGTTTTTGTCCTCTGGTGTTGCCTTCATCCGCTCCCCCCCTCCCCCGAATGTCTCTTTTAAAAAATCAATAATCCCTGCCCTACTCCGTAGTCCTATACTTCGCAACGCTCGACTTTTTAATGAACTTTGGCGACCCCAACAAACGCTGGTGCTCACCAATGCCGTACTTTGTAGTGCCTCGCACGAAGGTTCACTGACCTGTCACGCTGGCGAACCCGACAATCTAAAAATCGGACAAAGCTTGTATTTTCTTTTCACTCCCCCCCCCCAACCCCCACAAGTGACAGAGTCCGAGTAATTAATAAATTTTGTTTGCACGGCGACACAGCGTTTATACTGTACAACCTGCATATTACAAACGCCAAATTTCAGGGTGGTAACGAAAGCGAAAGTAGATCTCGATTTTCCCAATCGAGCCTCGGTGTCACATACACTTCCACCTGCCGCCATAGCCGGCTTTTCACGTGAAACGTACTCTCGGACGAGGAAAAGGTAGAACGAATAATTATATCACAATCGCGACCTGCAAAAACGGAGGCTAGGGTTCACTGAAAAGTCTTGCTGGCTTCATCACTTAGTATGCAGGCTAATTTACGACCGTTTACCAAATTTTTACTACCTTCAAGGCAAATTTACTACCATTTACGACCTTTACGACCAGGGCGCCGAATTTACGACTTTTTTACGACTTTGCTGGACACCCTGAAATGGGAGCTGGAAATGCGTAGTATTTTTTTTAATTCGCATGTCTGTTCCAATAATATATGGCAAAATAGAAAAATTCGCATGAAAAATTTTGACGCCCAAAGACGTTTTGTCCGAAACGACCGGCCGGGGCAGAAAAAATTTGGGCGTAGTCAAAATTGCAGGAACACTTACACATCTGTAGGCTGGTCACACACAGCGGGACCAAAAGGAGCAACCCTTTCAAAGGAATTGTCACAGTGGCCACACTACAGTAGTTAGAGACAATTAACTACAGAAGCGGACAACTACATGTCACTTAGGAATTGTAGAATCAGCATTATCTGTAGCCAATCAGGGAGAGGAGGAAAAACAAAAGACGGTGTACCAAGACTCACAAAGCATACACAGGAGAGACAAAAGATAGCTTACATCGACCAAACACCTACCATCTTAACATAGAATAGATAAAAACCACCCACCATCTGTATTGCCGGTGCGGTCAGCCCTGAGGTGTCCAGATTGGTGAGTGCCATGAGGTCGTCCGTGAAGACCATGCCTTGCGAAAGCTGTGAGATCGGGGAGGAAGGGACACCGCCCAAAGTCAGCGTCTGGTAGAGACATGAAGGTTTGAAACATTGAAGACATTTCCCCACACTGACTCTATATATCCTACTTTCAAGACAATTTAACAAGAACAAAATCATGCTGGAGCTAACATCATCAAAGACAAAATATTTCTCCTGAGGAACACATTATCAAAAAGAATGGCATTTCTATATTTATACTGCAATAATCACTCAATAACTGAAATGAACCATTCATGAAAACTAAACAAATTTCCATCACTCTAACTAATCCCATATGTAAAGTAAACATGACCACTTTCATTTAGAGACATAAGAAAAAACTTGTCACAGGGTTTTGTGTTTCTTTGATGGTAACAGAACAACACTGGTATGAGGGTAACGACCCTATTGTACTCAGTACATTACAAAATAAAACCACTCCAAACAAACAAAAGCAGCTGAGAAAAAAAGTTAACAGACAGCATACCGCATTGGCTGGCTGGTTCAGCGACCTGGTGAGGCATGGGTGAGCTTGGATGATGGGCGCAGTCGCATTTATCTAAATAAAGACACAGCACACAAACAGTACATGGTTAACTCAGAGCAATTTTACATTCCTAACCTATTAATGCCAACACTGAGCATCCATGACAACAATACAAAACCAAAAAGAACAAACATTCATGAAAACTGCATCTCCATTCATCTCAGCTGACCTAAAAATCTTTTATTTACACATTTCTTGAACTAAACCGTCAAAATTTCCTCAACAGCTGTTTCGACTCAACATAAAAATCCAGTCTTGACAAAGTTGATCCATGCATTCTAACAATGAACAATGGCCAACAGACCAAATATATATATATTTTTTAAAAATTTTTTGCTACAATGTACACTCACCAATATCCCCTCACCCTCCTCTTCCCCAGTATATCATCATATTCCATAACACTGTACAATCACTGATCAACAGAAGTCCAACCCCCCCCCCCCCACACTTATATTTCTTACATAAGGAACTCCCCTCCCCACCTAATAACTGTACAAATATGTACATGAACCCACCCATATTTGTATTTCTTACATTAGATACAGTTCCATTGAGCTGGGCCTGCGGAAACTGTCGGTTAAGATTTATGGTGGGTCCAAATGTGCTTGGTCCTGGACCAAGGGTAAGCTGGGATGTTTGAGGTTGCTGAATTTGCTGCACTGTCTGCTGTGGCTGCTGCTGAGCCTGGAGCAAACATGGCGTCTGTTTGTGGCTGACAAATGCCGGCAGTGAGGTGAACTGCTTTTTGCACTTGCCACACTGGAATATGTCCTCTTCTTCATCTGTAGAAACATAACATACAAACAACTATCAGCTAAGCAATGGCAATGAATGATAATAATGACATACAAATTCCTTCAGCTTCAGCTGCATGCATACATTTATATTACATTTATACCCATACACACCTACTAATGCAAAATATTTGCGGATAGAACAAAGAGCATCTATTTGAAGGAACAAGCCCAAATCCCCAGAAGTGTGTTCCAAGTTCTTGTATTTTTTGTGTCAGGGGCACAGCTGCTTCTGAAACCACTCTAACATTTAGTACAGAATCTTTTGGTTCAACGTCAAGAGGAACGACACTTTCTTAGAACAAAACAGAAAAACACATCAAGATAGAAGTTGAATTATATTATATATAACAAAACAGATTACAGAACAGTGTCATATTTAAGGAGCAAAGATGTTATGATTATGAAAAGATGCTTGACTTTTACCATAATCAAAAGGCAAACTTTTAGACACACATTTAGTTGAAAACAGAAATTCAGATTTTTTATAAAAATTAAGTTGACGCTATTATTTAACCCAGTACAAGTTACCTGAAAACAATTTAAGAGCAACTCATCTAGGCAACTTTCCTAAGAGTCTCAGACATACACAACAAGTGCATGCAGCAATCATTTACTGCTGCTGTAAACACTCATGACAGAGCAAATTTCAGCTCTCAAAAAACCCACAGTATTTTAACCTGCTTTCATACCTTGTGCTTCAGTAACAACTTGAGAGTCCAGCAATGACCTCACGGCCACCACAGTCTGATTGTCCACAGCTTGAACTGATCAGAGCAGAGAAAAAACAAAACTGAATTACAATAATTCATACAGTATAAAAATAGCATAAAATGACTTATGTTATGTTGACTACTTTGTTAATGGTTTTTGTAGGTTTTAGGGTGCGTTATTTACGAATATGAAAAAAAAAATTGATATTAAAAAATATTCCAAATGTCCCGTTTGCAAGATATTGACACCTATATCGTATACACATATTTTAAAGAATTTGACGTACTAATACACCAGACTGGGAAAAAGTGAAGTGATTCCACAGCAAGTCACGTGTCACAGACTATGCGCCATCTAACCTTTTTGAATGCGCATGCGCACACGACTTCTAACCACTTTGCACATTAATTATTGCACATGAAACATTTCACAGTGTCTGCTGTGCTTTGCTTACGTCATTATAATTCCCTCTGTAAGTTTGAAATCTAGTCTAACCGTCATTCTCGCTCTGCTCCTAGTCCGGGTTGGGTTGGTTAGATCTCTGTCAAGTCATAGATTCGTGCCAGTCATGCACCTTCAATTATTTATCTCAAGTGAAAGATTCTATACGAAGACAACCAGAAAAGCCGTGATTTTTTAAACGTTTGCATGGTGTTTTGCTGAAGGAGGTAGTTTGCCCGAAGTGTAATATGCAGTGCACATTTCGTGAGGATAAGTGTTTATGGTGCTGTTGGAACAGTTGTGATTCCTAGACAAAAAAGAGGATGCATTGTGGTTTCAGTGTTTCCGACAATAAAGGTTCTTTCTTGGATAATTGCTCTATTCCTATGAGGAAAGTAGTGTTATTTGTCAACCATTTTCTCAGTCGTTTGTGGGACCACAAGACAGTGCAAGAGTGTTTAGGTCTTTTGGCCCATTCTACTGTGGACTGGCAATAATTTTGAAGCGAGGTGACAGAGGAGTGGTTGAACAATCAGGAGCCCGTAGCCGTACGTGGTAGAGGTGTGGAAGTAGAGATCGACGAAACAATAATTGTGAACAGAACATATGAGCGGGCTCATGTCTTGAACCAGATTTGGCTCTTTGGAGACATTGAGCGTGAGTCGAAGCGAAGTTTTGGGGTCGCTCTGATCGCAGAGGATGATAGGCGTGACAAGAATACTCTGATTCCTATTATAAAAAAATTAATTTCACCATAATTTGATGTTTTGCAATTAGGTTTGATCATTTTTTTAAAACAAATGATTTGCAAGGGTTTTAGTGGCTAGGTGAGTTCTGCAGCAAAAGTAACGGCAGTTTATCCCCCAAAACGGTGTATCTGTAGTGTATGCTGGTCTAAAAGTAAAAATTTACCTTTTATTGTTGTGGGGTGGGGGGTTTTTTGTGGGGGGGGTTTATGGCTTGTTTTTTGTTTGTTAGTTGCCGTGTTGTTTTTTTGCCTTGTGGCTATGCGTACGGCCCTCAGATTTAGATAGAAGTGAGCTAACGGCCTTGATAATTGCTCATCTGGACCGCGTCACTTTATCGATCGATAACTTGGCCAAGACAAAGATCATGTATAACAAGATAGTTCACTCCTCTATAACTGAGCCAATTAAAAAAGTGTCCTCAATGTTTGGTGGCGCCCTCTTCGAAAAAGAGCGGACTTTGCAATCAGAGTTACCTTACTTGTGTGAAAATATACAATAAAAGAGAAACTAACAAACTGTGCTATTCCTATTCTTCCTCTGGGGAAAAGAAAAAGAGCTTCAAAACAAAGACTGCAGCATTTTATAGCTGCACGCATAGAGGGCCTGTGTGCTTCCCGGGTAGCCCGGCTCACACCCATTATAAAGGGCCTGCGCCTAGACGGTCAGAGAATGTAGAGAACGTATTGAGATCTAGATCTAGGCCTGCGCGCTTCCAGGGTTTAAGTTTGTCCACTTGTAGTGTCCGGTTTGATAGTTTATGTGTGCCAACAAAGAGCTTTATAATGTGAAGTGGAGGGCCGTACACATAGCCTCGATGCTATACGTATGGGAGCCGTACGCACAGCCACTTCGGTGGGTTTTGGGTTTTTTGGGGGGTTTTTGTTCGGTGGGGGGTGGTTCTGCTGTTGTCTGCTAGATCTAGATATCTAGAACTCTAATTTAGTTTTAGTAGAGAGGTTTTATGGCGCCTGCAACTAGATCTAAGTCTCAGTCAAAAGACTACTTAAGGTGAGCACCAGAAGATTAGAGGTGTTACAAGAGACATATTATATATAAACCAGCGTTTTAACGCACTTATATAGTAAAGAGAGAGATCTAGATTTAAAGGGAGTGTATATACAGACCCGGTAACCGGGAACAAAGTCACAAAGTATACAGACCCGGTAGGGGAACTCTTTTGTGATTTCGGAGAGTTTCAGCGCCCTCTTGGCACAGGGTAGACCTAGAATCTAGGTTCTTCTAGATCTAGATATCGATGGCCTAGGATAGATCTAGATCTAGATCTGGGCAGACAGACATAAATCTTTGATCTAGTTTCGCGGCTAGCCTAGATCTAGAGATCTAAATGAAGATTGCGGATGTCTTTTCGATGAACGATCGTTTTTCCTCTGTTTTGGAGTTGGAGGAATCGCAATTTGAAGTAAAGAACAATGTTATAATTTAAATCGAGCAGCCACCCTCTCTATTTCTCTGCCTCTCTCTCTCTCTCCCCTCTGTTTATCGCTCGCCTTCTCTCTATCTTTGTTTGTCTCTGTCCTTCTTTGTCCCCACCTATTTCCCACTCTATCTTTCTCTCGTTCCCTCCGCCTCCTGCCAACTGGGGCATGTCATACATTTTGCAAGCACCTCTCTCTCTCTCTCCCACACACACACACGACTAGGCCTAGATTTCTACCGGGTCTGGGCGCTGAAACCTTCCGAAATCACAAAAGAGTTCCCCTACCGGGTCTGTATACTTCGTGACTTTGTTCCCGGTCACCGGGTCTGTATACACTTCGTTAAATCTAGATTATATTAGCCTCGCTATAAGTCTAATAATAATCCACACCTTGGCGGAATCAGCGGCTTCATCTTGTTGTCAAGCAATTTATGATTTCATTACTAAATTTTTTCCGAAACTTTTTTAGATGTACAAATCCGATTCCAACAATTCGGAACATGAATAAAAGCAGTTACAAACTTTAAAGTGTAGAGACACGTGCATGCATGTCGTGTATTTATGAATAACCGAACTGCCACGAGGCAATGTTTACCATTGATCGGCTGGTTGAGGTGATAACAAAGTGCTATACAAGCACTTGTATCTTGGTTCGTGGATTGTGTTGACAGCCGTTCCATGAATCATCACACAACCCGCAAGACTCTCCTTTTTCCGATGACCACACAAATTGCAATCCTTTCCAGACTTAATATGACAAGAAAACTACTTCAACAAATAGGACGTTGCAAGTCGAACAAAAGTATTAGTGTTTTCCTAAACTGATCGGCTTTTAAAATAATTTTTATACTCTGACTTTACGCTGAGATCTGCCGGGAGTTGGACATTCAAAATGGCGAACCACCCCCTCCGCGATGAACGAAACCTCGATACTCACGAGCTCTTGCGAGATCAAAACAAAGGTCCAAGTATCGCCGGTGTTAAGTGGATCGATTCTCAGATGGTATCGATTATCCTGGTTTGGATAATCGATACTACACAGTAACAAAAGTTGATGTAATTTTAATTTATAAAATTTATAATTTTATTCTGTCTATACGAGTTTTTCTGTTGGTATATAATTTGTTGGTTTGTGTGTAAGGGTGTGTGTGTTTAGGTGTGGATGGGTGCGAGTATCATGTATATGTGTGTGTGTGTGTGTGTGTGTGTGTGTGTGTGTGTGTGTGTGTGTGTGTGTGTGTGTGTGTGTGTGTGATGGAGAGAGAGACAGAGAGAGCAAACGAACGTTTTGAAAAAGTGACCGCTGCCTAAGATGTAGCACAGCGTTCACATCGTGTTGTTGGGTCTTTAGTTTTTAGTAAGCGTTTTACAGCACTTGCAACACAATAAGGTCATATAAGTGCCGAAGATTAAAAGTGTTACAACAGAGTAACAAACATAAAAAAGAAGGAGAGGAGATAGAGATGATAGATTTTTTACAGAGGAAAGAAGGAGCAAACCACACAAGAGCACCCGCCAACCACCCACATCGTAGGGTCTGTGGTCTGGGATTGCAGGAGAAAACATGTTCACCCCATGCCCGCTTGCTCGAGCCCATAATACATGTATTGAGCCTTCTCAATATTCTCATGCCTGATTGCCGTATATATATTTTATTTGGAGTGCTGTGTGGGGGCAGGGGTTGAGTTATATCATGTATATAAAAGTGGATGGTTGAGAATAAGCTCCAGCTTAATGAAAATAAAACTGAAATTCTGTTATGTAACCCAAAGAAAAGCCATATCCCCGTAGACATTGATCATATTTGTACTGAAAATGAAACACTGTATTTTACTAACAAAGCAAAAAATCTGGGAGTGTATTTTGATTCAAAATTGTCAATGGAACATCATATCAATTATTTATGTACCATTTTATTAAATTGTGAATTGCGTAGAATTGGTCATATGTCTATGTTTTTGAACGAACACTCGTTGAAAACGCTCGTGTCATCTTTCTTGTTTTCACGCATCGATTATTGCAATGCTTTACTAGCTAACTTACCAAATACCTCTCTTCACAAGTTACAACGTTTTCAAAATCATGCTGCTAGGCTTGTACTAAAGAAAAAGAAGAGGGACCACATTACTCCCATGTTAAGAACGTTGCATTGGCTTCTCGTGTCAGCTAGAATGTCATATAAAATTGCAATATTATGTCATAAATGTGTCAATAACAAAGCTCCCTCATATCTTAGTGATCTCATGCAGATTTATGTTCCATCTAGATCACTAAGATCAGGCGACCAGTATCTTTTACGAGTTCCTAGAAAAGGCGGTAAAAAATTAGCCGAAAGATCGTTCGCCCACCTTGCTCCGTCAGTTTGGAACTCTCTTCCCCAACCCTTGAGACATATAACATCTGAGTCTAAATTTAAAAAATCTTTAAAGACACATTTAATGACATCCTTTTTAAGTCAGTAGATTCATGTTCAATACAATGTTATGTAAATGTCTATTTATCCATTTATGTATTTTGTGAATTGCAGTGTATATATTATTTTATTCTCATTTCGTGACGATGTGTAATCGTGTGCGTGTGATAAGCAAGTAGATGTGTGTGTGTGTGTGTGTACGTGTGTGTGTGTGTGTGTGTGTGTGTGTGTGTGTGTGTGTGTGTGTGTGTGAGTGTATGTGTGTGTGTGTTTGGCATACATGTGTTCGTGAGTGTGTATGGGTGTGTTTGTGTGTGTGTATATGTATATGTGTGTGTGTTTGTGTGTATATGAGTGTGTGTGTGTGTCGCGTGTATGAATATTTTTCGTACATGCATTTATGTAAAGCGCCTAGAGCTGTGTTTACACGGGAGTGGGCGCTATAGAAATGATCTTCATTATTATTATTATTATTACATGTGTGAATATGTGAGGGTGTGTGTGTGTGTGTGTGTGTGTGTGGAGGAAGGGTGAAGTGTTCATACACACGCACATACACACACACATACACACACACACATACACACACACACAAACACAAACACACACTCATGTGCAGAGAGTGAGAGAGGTTGGAGGGGGGGAGAAAGAGAGACAGGAAGTAGAGAGAGGGTGGTTGTGTGCACACACGCACACACACACAATTAGTCACACACACACACACACACACACACACACATACACACACACAGACACACACACACACACACACGCACGCATACACATAAACAAACTCAATATGCACAGAGATGTAAAAGGGGGTAAGTGACAGAGACAAGAGGGAGAAAGAGGGCAGATGTGGGAGGGGGATTCAACTAGGGCCTACTAACGATATCAAAACAGAAATAAACACTAAACACAGTTTGTACGCAACATCGGACTGACTGTCTAGCTGCTGTCATCCAGAACGAGGAAAAAGAAGAAAAAACACTAAAAAAGAAATGACAAGTCATACTTATATCAAAGTGTCAGACATCAAATGGCCATCAGAAATCTCCTTTATTAACATGCAGAACATAAAAAACAGAATTACATATTCCCCACAAGGTGCACAGATTCATAGCGGAATACATGACTATAAAATCCCTTCCTCGATTAAAAATACATGTACAACAAGATCAGCTCCCTACAGATCAGAGAAGAGACAAAGAAGATCCTGCATGTACAATAATATCAACTTATGTGCTAAACGAATAATTCCAAGCCCTATATCACAGCATCCTGCCCAGATAACAAAAGGACAAAAATCAACATAGCCACAGACTAATAAGGCAACAATATAAACAAAAGCCTTTTTTTAGGTCGTGGGCTCGAATCTAACATTTGGCTAGGCAAAGTATTCTTCTTTAAAAACACACGTGTACCACTTTGTTCCCATTCAACCTTGGCACCAAAGTACAGTACAAGTCAATTAAACTTCACGTTCAAGACAACATTGAAAAAAAAAGAAGACCTATAAACTTCAGAACAGTAAGGTGCATGCACCTGCAGCAACAAGTTTATACACACATGTGCCAACTAAAAGGCAGCAACCAAATTACACTACTGTCATTATATCTATGCACAAAGGCATCAAGGAACATATACTAATGTCAATGAACACACCCTAGCACCAAAGTAATGCGGACTGAGCACACTTACAAACACACACCAACATCAGTTTACATACAGGAACAAGATGTAAGGTGGGGGGGAAAAGACTTCACTACACTCATGATGAACAGCAATACATACATGTAGACCTTTACCAGTGTATCTTTCTTCATAGTGGATACATGTATGATGTCTATTCTTAAAAATCATCTCAGGAGAATACAAAGCAGAAATTAAAATCTTTGCACTTCCATATCCCAAGCCATTCTCACGAAACTGATTACACAGACAGTTTCATTGTGCTGTTGTAATATTGTAATAATAATAAGCACTTCAATCTAGTTCTAGGGTGTAATAACACTTAATTCAGGATTCAGAAAGAAGCTTAAGATTAATGCCTTTTTTTTTTTTTTTCATAAATTGTCTGTCCTACTCCACAACTTTAAAGTGCACACCAGACAGACCTGCAATATAAACATCAATGGATGCAACTCTCACTCTAGCTTCACAGATCAGGAGATGATGACACTTTAGGTAAAATTTGTTTCTGGATAATTTAGTTCTTATTTATGGCCAATGTTCTTGTTTAAACAAAAACACTTCTACCTAGAAGTCTAAAGATCCATGTGTTGTCTCCACATCACAGGATCTTACATCATGTTGAGTTACACCAAAATCTGGACCATCACCCAATATAGAAGTTCAAATTTCTTTTTCTGATTACTTACCATGGAAGAATATTAACCAAACCAACAATGAAACTTGATACAAACAGATAATCTAAAGAGTGAGCAATCAAAATCAAAATAAATACCGGCATAATTAGCAAACAAAACAAATTCAACAATAAGCAACAAATCAATTGCAAAGTCAGTGTTTTGAGTGGATCTCATAAGGTCAGTTTTGTCTGTCACTGTGACCTGTATTGAGACAGTCAGCATCACAGAATGCCAAAACTGACACAGACTGTTTCAGTTACAGACAAAAGGTAGATCCAGTCTAAATCTAAATGGTCACCAACAGTCATTTGCAGCTCATCAGTATATCTCTAAAGGTCCTTGCCTACAACTTGGAAGTGGTGTCCATGAGGGTGCTTATGCTAGGAAAGCCATCATCAAAGGCAGCATCAAGAACCTCCTCCAGTCTGTTCGCAAACACAAAGCTCATTTCACGCTGAAAGCGAAGAAAAATCAAAGTTCTTGCACACAAGTATAGAGATACATATTATATATGATTTTAAAATCTCACATTTTTTTCTTTCACTATATCACATATACTGCTAAAAACCTACTATTGTAGACTATCATCTAAAAATCATGAACCCATATCTGTCTAATTGCTTTGAATTTTGATTACCTGAGGAACCCATTGTTTCCGAGTCTCTTTTATCTTGTCAGTGCAGGTCCATTCAGGACAGCACTGCTTTAAACTTAAACAGTTATTCCAAAAACAGTCTTGGAAGGACAAGAACAATAAGACAAACATAGAAATGAACATTGGACAGATAGACAAACAGCTCCAAGGTTATAAGGCAGACGGTACTGTGTAGCCATCTAACCAGCCCGCTACCACTTCGTCAGACGAGAGCCAAATCTACTTGTATTCCAAATACAGTGGAAACCTGATATAACAGGGATAGTGGGAGTAAAGAAAATATTATGTTATATCCGATCCCTGTTAAATCAGAAATGCAAGGAAAGTAAGCATTTGTGGACTAATCCAGTTGTATTTATTCATGGGTAGTTTCCTTTGCCACAAGTACCCGCGAACAGGGGTTTTGGCACCGACTTTCTCCATTGCCTCACATCAGAAGAGCTTGGTCCACAGCATCTGCATCAGGTAGTCTCATCTTCTTTCGATCCAGAGCAAACTTTCCATTGGAGTATGCTGCCACTATCTTCTCTCTATCCTTGATAATGGTGAGAATCGACCCTTGTGGAATGTTGAACTGACGACAAATCTCTGCCAGTGGAGCTTGCTTTTTGTCAACAGCCTGGATTAATTCGTATATTTTGTCTATTGAAAGGAATTTTCTCTTGCGCTTGACATCGTTGGTGACACATTACGCGTGTGTTGCTAGGTTTCCGGCTAGATCGCTTCACACGCTGCGTGTGCTTGCAGTTGCAGTGGTATTGTTTGCGTGGGCTTGCTCCATCACTGAGTTTCTCTCTCTCTCTTACTTTTCATACATTGGTAACGAGCCTTTGTCCCTGCTATAACCGGTTGGGCTCCGATGAGGCCCTGTTATTGCCAATAACTTTTAATAGAGACAAAGAGTAGGAAAAAACGGGGATTTAAAAAATCCCTGTTATTACCGGATCCCTGTTATTACCGGGCCTGTTATATATGGTTTCCACTGTATATGAAGGGACTTACCCGAATGTTCTCAGGAATCTCATGTAGGTCCTTCCTGTTCCTCTGTGGCAGAATGATGCGATAGATTCCAGCCCGATGAGCTGCCAAAACTTTCTCCTTGATCCCACCCACCTGCGGTAATAGAGGTGAGAGGTGTCTAATGGTGTCTTTATCACATGTACGAGAGGTTACCTAGAGATCTCATTACCATGACAACCACAGCAGATAGGAAAAGAACACCAGTAAACCTTTTTAATTGTTACCATGACAACTACAGACTGCCCAAACCAACCTCACAGAGTGAGCCTACTACATTGTGTGAGTTTAACATCCCTTAAAACACATTATGATTATTTAAGAGGTGGGGGCCTCGTGTTTTAACTGGCAGGTGAGACCTCTGATTTCAATTTGCACCCCCAATAAGACCAACCCAAGTAGGCTGGGTCAATTGAAAGCTCCCCCAAATATTTCAAGTTTGGGAATTCAAACCACAGACATTCACACAATAGACCAGTTTGATATTGACATAGATAATAGTATGCTTAAATTGACACTCTTGAAATATAGATAGATGTACAGAGATTATGAGATCCTTGGAGGGTATAATTCATATATATTCACAGCCCCATTTCTTCTGATCCCTCTCCCCCTACTACATTCTCTGAATACAGTCAACTCCGCTTGTGTTGAACTCTCTTGAGTTGATCTTATGTTAAGTTGATCTTTTTCTCGCATCCGAGCGCCTATTTTTTTTTACTGGTCCCAACATTTACGTTGAACTTCAGATGAGTTGATTTTTTTTCACTCCCCCAATGTCAACAACTCATCCATAATTGAATGTATCCCCCCTCC